ATAGAGTAGCTCTGGATGTGAAGCCTGCAACAGATAAGAAATCACAGTCACTAAGTACATTTATTAACCCTTTAAATTCCATGAGTGACCAAGACAGAATTTCTCCTTACAATATCAATACAATATCAACCAGATAAGTGATGAGAATAAAGAAAAATATAAATTTGGGGATAATTAGTTGATCCAATACTAAATTCTCTGAACTAACATTACAAGAACTGTGTGGTTCAAAGTGAGGAGAATGAAAAATTTGATCTGGGAATTAAAGGGTTAAGTGAACAATAAACACATTCCAGTGGTACTTGTAAGAATTAAGGCTATAGAGATCCTTTGAAAAAGAAATTGCAAAGTTAATAATATTAACAAATAAAAGAAGATTTATTACAAGTACAGAGTAGGGCTTGAATGAAGTTTTCTTAATAACTAGTCCCTTAGTTAATTGACATAAATTTACCAGTTTATATAGTTTTTTTTTTAATTCTAAGAAACTATGCTTGAACTAATAACCTACATTACAGACATGTTTAATGACATATAAATACCCTGGACAAATACACTTTTCTATGTACAGAAAAAAAAATTGCCTAAGACCTGCATATAGATACATACCTTATGCAGAAAGCGTTTTGCATGCACAGTAAAAAAAGCCAAAGAAGCACTCATCATCAAGGCAAAGACACCATCACTAAATGACACTTTGAATTTTGCTGTTGAATCCTCAAGTGAGCAGAAGAGAACCACGAGAAGTGAACATAGAATAACCACAAATATGACAATCCTGTCATTATAACACTGACGACTGGTCAACCATGATGCTAGTAGAACCATCGCTGGTGTTAGGGCAAGTGATAGCTGGGACAGATAAATACAAATTGGTTATAATTCAACAATTGATCAAACATTAATTCATACCATAACAGATCAAACAGTTTCACTACCACAGGTAGGTAAGTAGGTAACATCTGTACTTGAGTCAAGTGACCCATCCAGCAGGAGCTTATGCCAGGTTCTATGGCATGAAACTACTAAGAGGATTACTACTCCCCCCCCCACCCCCAGGATGGGATGTCAATCTATCGCAAGGTTACCCCTCAGCATTTCATCAGGGTTCCCAGAAAATTCACCAGTACCCATTCATACTCCTAGGCAGAGAGAGCTGCTGTGAAAGTGAAGTATTTTTGCCCACACATAAAAACACAATGACTTGAATTGGACCAGGTCTTGAGCCCAGACCTCCACAATGCGAGACACTCAACACATCTCCTACATTCTTAAAATGCCACTTGATCATAAATATCCAATACAAAATAGGCTATTTTACAGTTGTGTACTTACATGTAGTTGCCAAGCCTTTGATTTGGAGTGAGGCTGAAGGTGACCTTGTTGTGATGGGGACCAGTATCTAGTTGGCATGATAACAAAGTAATCTACATTTGAAAAGCAGCAATGTTTGTAACATAACCAGGTCACCCTTAGCCTCACTCCTGTTCAAAGGCTTAGCAACTAAGCATGCAACTGTAAAATGGACTACTGGAGAAAATCTTAATGATACCTTCCAGAGAATAGCCAAACCCACAGTTTTCCTTGAGTTTAACTCTTGGAAAACTGTTCTCTTCCCACAAGAGATGGCGTTCATATTTTTCAATTGATTAGCAACAAGAACTGATACATACCATATATGCTGCAGAACCTCCTGATACTCTAAAGTTTGATGTATTAAAATCCAGAGAAAAGATGGTCACGGAAACTACATGTAAAAAGAGCATGGGGAAAAAATGTCTTGCTTGGCTCCTGAAACTGAAAATAAACAATATAGAGAAGCTGTAAGTTTGACGTCAGTAAGTGTACACAGATCATTACAGACTAAACATTGAACTAATGCAAGAAAAGACAAAGAAAAAAACTTGAAAAAAATTAATACCACAGCTCCCTGCACAAGATGAACAGTAATAGATCACAGATGATGCCAAATGTGAATGGCACACAGAGTACACCTAAGTGTGTCAATGTTCTTATCACCTTTGGATGACTTTTGTGATTTTTACTTAACAGACCCATGGCGACATGGAATCTATTTGTTTTTTTTTTTTTAATAAAGAAGAGGCAAAAATTAATAATGATGATGTCATCTCTTTATCTGTCCTTCAAAAGATCATAGTTAAGAACCAATCAAAATATTTGCATGTTTCAGCTTCTCATATTATTTACCTTATTCATACTTAATTTAGCATGTGCTCAATTTTGCAAATTTGGCAAAACGGTACTTAACTGGGTTTAACTTTTCGCAATTTCAACAGGCAAATATGAAAATAGGGCCTTGAATTTTGTGAAACAAGCAATGTCAACTTCATTTTCTTTTTCAAAATGTCTTAACTTTTCTAGATGGGTATTAAATTTTGTGCGTGTAAATTCCACAAGGATTTTCCTTCATGAGTCTTAAATTTTGTGATTTTTTTACACCACAAAATGCAAAATGAAGTACATACGAAATTAAGTAGGAATATAGTTATTTTCAACAGATCCACCAATCCTAGTAAAGTTCTTTTCGTTTGAACATTCTTAACCTTTTGACCCCTAAGAGTGACTAACATCTAATTTCTCCTTACAATTTCTAACCCTCAATCACACATTAAGGTCATAGGAATAAAGGAAATGACCATCAACTAAAGAAGCTCTTGATTGTTAAACAAATTCTCCTTGGAAATGTATAGAGACAAGTATAGAGAATGTGTATACTGATGTTGGGGTGTAAAGGTTTAAACCAAACCCAGCAGAAGCAAAAGATCCAATCAGAACAACAGAAAGCATTCCAAGAAGGCAATGAAAACTCATGGTAAATACAAGTAAACATGTACAAATTTGAGTCACAACAGGTTTAAGTAAGAGACGTTATTGTTGTGAAGGTGCAAATAATTTTTATACCATTCAGAAAGCAAAGAGAAGTAAAAGACCCATGTAATCCCAGATATTCTGAATTACTTTTGATACCCAATTAGTCTTTCCCACCCCTCCTAAGGACACTATATGTATTACCTAAATATTTTATTTAAAAAAAAAGACTCAGTCTTTTGACCGATTCTGCACTTTACACACTCAGTCAAATTAATTGCAAAATACTAAGTGACAATTCTTGTAAACACTTTCTGTTATTGACTTCTTGATCAGTGGTGTCATGTCCTTATAGTTACTGCAATTGCCGTCTAGTTTGCTGAACAAATAATTGCAAAATCTTAAAAATAACATGAGATACCACTAAAAGAATGTTTTGCACAGCATAACAAAAGGGAATTTCTGGTATATTTTGCATAACACTGAGAAATGAGAGTCTTCATCAAACCATCAAACAGAGAAAAGTTGCCAAGAGCCTGAGCATAAGAAATTGAAGTAGCTTGAAATCCCAATTACCTACTTTTCCTTTCAATTTTTTTGATGAAGTTTTGGACTTTGTTTAATTCATAGTAGATCTGATTTAACCATTTTGCAAAGTGAACTTTCCTGTGAATTTCAAAGTCCTCTGTTACATGACTTGCCAGGAGGTTCCATGTTGCGTTTCATTGGTAGGTAGCATGAACGCATCGACGGGCACTTAAGTGAGGTGCAAAGATCAGGAATTTCTTAAGAGACCAAAAATTTCAGGTTTTTTAAACACAAGTTACCTCTGTTAAGACATATTAATATATTATATAGATTTATAAGATCTTCATGAAAATTGGCCAGAATGTTCATCAGCTATTAACACACCAAAGTGTGTGAGGCTTTTACGAAATTTTAAATATTTCTCTCCTGAAGTCTTGGTGACTGACAACAACCTAAATACTTTCTTTTGTCCAACTTCAAATTGACTTTCCCAGGAACCAATAAGATATATAGAAAAAGCCGCACACAATAACTGATAGCCCATTACCAATTGGGTGTTACTATCCAGTTTGTTTGGAAAGCGGTAAGGCAAACGCTTGTAATCCAGTAAAGCAAACACAGTCAGTTTTGTGTTTTAAGGCTCGCGCGCGGCTATCAAAACAAAAACTGAGAAAATTTTGTTATTTTCATAATCTATAATTTAAACATGCAAGCTTACCGTGATATAAAGCTTTCTGAGGTTTCTTTAAAAGTGACGCGCGTGCACGTTGGACGATGTTTGTCCACTAAGGTCCTCAGACATAAAAAACGCTCCTTACAATCGTTCCTCCGGTGAGACTTCCCGTCTATGTAAATATTTACCTAACCAGCTGTTGATTTAACTCTCGCTCAATGCTTTACTTACCTTCGTATTCGCTTTCTTCCCCAGAATCTAAAGAAGAGAGCGATCGCACAACTTTCAAACCAGAAGAAGAATATTGAAGCATGGCTGCTTTCAAAGAGCTTAAAATGAAAGATCTTCTCCACGATTAGGGCGACAGTAAAAAGAACTGTTGACAAAAACGTGTAAATATAGCTGTGGTCTCTTAGAGTCTTTTTCTCCACTGAATGTTCGTCGCTATCGTCAGCTTTTGTGTGAACAGTGAAACCACTCCATAACGAAGAAATATTGTTGATACCTTTGTGATTATTGTGAGAATTACGATTTGTATGTTCAGGCGTTCTACTTATGATTTCAGAGACATCCTCTCCCGACGATAAAGTCCTTGTCCGGAAAGACTCCATTCCCTGAATCTTCAAGAAAAATCGGAAGAATATATTACATGTAACACAACGAGAGGGAACTCGAAAAGTACAACAGGATCTAAATAGTCACGTGCCACCACGAGACAACGAGGAAGAGAAACGTGTGGTTACACCGAGGGGACCCATAGAGATATTCATTGAGCAATGATATTCAGCTTTTTTCGGGGAATAAAATGACGACAAAAGCCGATGAAAGAATTTAAATTATCTAACCACCTATGAATCTAACTCTTCTCTCTCCTTAAGTTTTTCTGTTCTTTTTTCCTTCTGCTGTATGAAATATTATCCCAACAGTACCCCTGATGTGGTTCAAGAAAATTTACCCGGGAGGGCTGAGAATGGACAAGTTGTATTCGATCAAAGATGGCGCCCTCGGCACTTTCGCTAACGATATTGACGATCGTTTAACAATGGCAAATCTCAAGAACCGAAAGGCCGCCCCCGATGATCTTGAAGCAGAAGCAGAAAAGGCTTTTCAGCGGGCTTCTGCTCAGCAAAATCGAAATGAAGATGATGAGTTCGACCTTGAATTTGAAAGTGCTTTCCAAAATCTTCCGCCAAGTAAAGCTGACGCGAAGTCAGACGGTTCCATTAAGGAGTCGGCCGTCAGTCAAGAGGTGTCTAACGGTCCTTCTCAGCTTCCCATTAAGACAGAAGGACTGCCTAGTAGTTTGCCTTCTAGTCAAGGGTGAGAGGGAAAATTATTCAGCGCAAACTTATCACGATCAGATACACTTACCAATATTTGTTTGTTTGTTTTTTTTTGAAGGCTTTTGTCAAGGGTTAGTTTATGTATATTTAGCCTCCGATGTTGAGGTTTCTGTTAACCGATGGGTGGATACTAATCTTAAATTAATCATTTTGTGCTTGATATCGCCCCATGTGTCGTTTAAGAGCCTACAATCTTAATATTTTTTCAAGGATGGTACAGATTCACTCTAAACAGCGTGAAATCAAGACATTTTGTCGGTCTTCTAGATTATACTAAGTGTGGATCTTACTAATTTTGGCGTTACGAATCGAGTATTTAATCAATGAATCATTATTTTCACAACATACGGAACATTATAATTCCCTGTAAATTCAATTTGCTTCAATAAGCTTTAAGTACCAAACTTCAAAACCAATAATAACTTGAATGAAAATTATGGAATTACTTGAATTGGCAAAATTTTTACCTCTGTTCAGTTATATTCACATGGTGCATGTTTTACAAGCTGTATTTTAAAGGAGTTGTGGCCAATCTTGTGCATCTTGATAAAGTTAGCCAAGGTTGTCATGTGCAGTGCACTTTAATCTTCTTCCTCTAAAGACATCTTGTGAGGAGCAAAAATAAAAAAATTATTCTCAGTGGGAAAAAAAATGTTATTTATTGACAACAGGGATGTATACAGGATTTCATAACCACAGATCCAGGGCAAGGTTTGGTTGCTTTATTATTTTCAATTATCTATATTTCTTGGCCAAGAGGGAATCGTATGAATTAAAGAATGCCCTCCCTCTAGTTTACACTCAGGCCTGTCTACTCATTGTGAAGCCTAACTGTATACTTTAATTTTTACAGATCAAGTGCATCAGAACTGAACAGATACTCTCCTCGCAAAGAAACTGCTAATTATTCTGAAAAGGAATCAGCGTCAACCAGTCCTACCTCGGATCAAATGCGACCTGGTAAACGAAGACGGAGATCGGACAAAGATAATATTCCACCAGGAATTAGGAAGCTACCTTCACCTCCAACAACACTTGAACAGGCCCAGATGGAGTGGGACTTAGTGGAAACTGTTCAGCCAGGTACAGTACTCTGTTTGGGAAATGTAACTTAAACCAATGGGCCAGTAATTTTTCAGACAGTGTTTAGCACAGAGTGGAATAGTGAAAATACATGGACTGCAACACCTCCTTACTCCTGGGTTATGAGAGGGGTAGTGTCAGACTGATAAGGTTTTTTTTTTTGAGTCATTGCTCCTGGTCTTCTTTTAATTGTTCATAAAACTGAGATTAAATATTTTTATGGTTAAACTGAAGTTGGTTCATAATGCAGTTTCATGTAATGTCATCTAAACTGTATTGTTATATTCAGCCTTGAGTGTCTGTCCACAAGTCTCACATTGATCTGCTGTCAGATCAATGTTTCTGCTGAAAAACAGGGTTTTCCATACATTTAATTATGACATTAAAGGGTTTTAAACTCAGACAGGAGACACTTACCGGTATGTGTTCTTGTGGTGTGCATGTACATACAGGTGTCAACCCAAGTTTCCAAAATCAACTCCTTGATCATTAATATGAATGATACTATCCTCCCTGCTTGTCTCCTCAGTTCATAAAATTTGGGCTAGCTTATGTTTTGATAAGGTTTTCTAAAACTGACAGCAATTATTGAAATTATAAATTGTTCATTGTAAAGGTCTGAACCTTGTCTCAAAATTATTCATTGTGTAAAATACATGTGAACTTGTCTCCTCTTCAGTGTCTGTTTTGTTGATTTAAAAGATCTAGAAGGTTTACCGATTAGAGCATCTTTTCCCACCAGGTTTTTGTTCAATAAAATGCTCTTAATTGATTTCTTAAAAGGAAGTGGTCAAGCTGGTAGCCGTTCACCTCTTATCACGTTCCAGGATGCTATACGTCACTTTCAAACAGCTAGTTACCTTGAACAGCATATGTCACACATCAAACCAACTGTCAAGCATCGTGGAATGGCAGCTGTGACCCATAAACTATTTGGTCCACCACAAATGAACAGCAGCCTTCACTTGGAACGGAATCTCATCTTTGCTCTTGCTTTGTGTATGTTCAAAAATGACGAAACCATGCATAATCAAGTGCTACAGACTATTTATAAAAAATTAACAGGCACCAAGCTTGACTGTCCTCGCTATGGAAACCACTGGGAGCTGATTGGTTTTCAAGGTGTGATTATATTTCTATGGATACATGTAAATGAATTAACCCTCCACACCCTGACCTCAGTTTGTAAATTCTCTGTACTAAAGGTGAGAAGCCTCTAATTTCTTCTTACAATATCACTCCTGATTCAAACAAGAGAAGCTCTTGATCGTCAAACAAATTCTCCTTGTCAGTGCCTTAGGAAATGTATAGAAGACTGCAAGGAGAATATGCTTACTGATGTTAGGGTGTGAAGGGTTATAGAAAAATGTGGGATAAATTCTTCAATCACTCCTTGTAAATTAGATGTACTGTTTTTTGAACTATTTTACAAACTATAGAATTATCACAGTAACATTTTACTACACAATTATATTTTATAGGTCTTGATCCTGCAACAGATCTAAGAGGTTGTGGTTTTCTGGGCCTGTTGACAACACTGTACTTAGTAACTGACCAGCGGACCCATGCTCTGGCTTTGGATATCTACAAACTCTCCCAACATGAAACACAGAACTTCCCATTTTCTATCATGTCTATAAACATTACCAGGATTGCTCTTCAAACTCTAAGAGAGGAGAAGCTGAATAAGTATGTGCCTCCCTTCCGGTCAAGCGTTTTTTATATGCTGTAAATTGCGTTATCTACGCTGAGTTACATGCGTTACTAGGTTTTGGCTGACTGCAATGTTATGGGCCACGTGCACTGGGAGATTTTAGTTTTGTGTGAGTTTGTGTGTTGAAAAATTGCGTTTCGGTTAGGACACCTGTAATTTGGAAATCAGCCAGTGGTTTTAGTTCGTCAACTCGACAGAGTAAGTTCAAATGCTTTTATCTTGAAAATATTCATATTATATCGGGGGAAAAGAAGGGCATCCTTTTTACGTTTTATCATTTGTAAGAGACCAACGCCATTATTGTGCCACTTTTGAATGATTCCAGCTTTTCTTTTACAGGCCATGCAACCGCCGCCGTCAGGTTCTGAACGTTTTTGTTGAATTCTACGCCGCTATTTTCGTCCACGTCTACCAGGTCTGGAAACATCAACATAAGACTATCAGTGACTCAGGGTTTGTGCTTAGGGAAGCAGAGAAACTCGCCAAAAAGCGACCGCGTGACCTGCATAGAAACCTGGAACGAGCATTAGCCGATCGTCAGGGTTTGATCAAAGTCGACGAAGACAACTTTTCTCCGAAGGCGAAACAGCCCGACATACTTGATAAGTTCGCTGGGTTTGCGATCTACAAGTAGATGAAGAGGAGGAAGTTCATCTGGTGTAGTGTTTGAGAATTAAGAACAAAATTATGTGATCATAGTATTAGTAAATAACGAGAGCAGCCAATGAGAAAACGCGAATGGCTGAGACGCGATTGGTCGAGGGAATGGTGTGAGTCCTCTCAACCAATCACAGTGCGCAGTGAAACATAGCAAATAGAAATCGTGGATTTCTTTCGACATTCAAGTGTCCACTGCTCAAGGAGCTTTTATCGACAAAGTATTCGAATTCAGAATTCTCATCTGGTCATGGGACTCCTGACGAGCAGCGTTTGCCCTCTACTGAACGCTCAAGTTCCTAAAGAGAATTATAATATTTATATAAACCAGGTAGTGCTAGCTGTACAGCTGCAATATGTATAGAAATCGAGTACTATTAAAGTCACCCCACACAAGGAACTCTGCTTTTTATTTCCACTTTGTGCATGTTTGGTTTTGCTTTGTATTTGTTTTTGTTCGTTTTTGTGTTTTCGTTTTGGTGGTTCTTCTCTTTATCTTTTTGCTTAATATATTTTTGTGTCAGCAAGTTTGGTCGAAATGGGGAGCTGTTCAAAGAATGAAAACTTCAACACTTTTCTTGCCCAATGCCGTTAGCCATCGCTTTTTGCACAGTACAGTAAGACCGTAACCAGGCCATGTCGGATTAAATTGTGAAATTGAGAACTTTATATCAAAGCACATTTTGGAACAGACTTTGCTTTTTTTTTTTTTTTCTCTGAATTTTTAGGGGCACGATTCCGTGGCAATATCAGCTGAACCATTATCTGAACAAAAACTCTCTTCAGTCCCTCGAACACAGGAGTTTGGAAATTAATGGCGACATTGATATCAGTTGATTCTGATCAATAACTCTTGAAGGAGAACGAATATCAAAGCCTTCTCTCAAAGTTAAGTGTGGAACTGTACGATGTTACCGTAAAAATAGACACACTGAAAACATCTTTATCTAGTAACTGGAGGAAGTATTTTTATGGCGCAATATGTTATCTTTTAATTAAGTCAGATACATTCACTCCTAACATGGTAGCCGAGTCATTATAAGCAACCAAACTTAGATTTGAGTGTAGGTGCTGGATTGAGGCTATATCAAGCCTCTACTTATGTCGATTTACGGCGATGAATACGGAAAAATTGAATTTGAAATTTTGGCAATATTGTATCGCGTGTGTTTTTCTTGGACTCATCAGACCTTCAACCGTAATTCCTTAACTAGAGTTCTGAATATCACTTTGAAATTAAAAGTTTTTGGATATTAAGCAAATTGTAGTTATCATGTCATAACATAAATTACGTTTAACTTCACTTTATATGAAATCGGGGTTTCGATCGTTTGAACTGTGAAGTTTCTTCTATTGGGCGTTTTATATTGAATCAAGGAGAGCATTTCCCCTCCAGCTGCAGGAGTTTTATGTTAGTTTTTATAAAAATGTTTATGTAGTGGTTGTCTGGAACAATTCGAGAAAACACTGATTGTCGCAAATTCATTACCATAGTTACAAATTAATTCCTTGGAAAATAAACGAAAATACACGAATATAGCGAGTCTGTTACATAACACTTTGATGTCAAAAATTGCTCCGATAAATAACTGAAGTGAGAAATACTTAGTGACATGCGCAGTTTCTAATTATAAAGTTGAGACTGATGCAAGAATAAACTTATGGGGTTGCTAAGAATTCACAAAGGAAGTCGGACTTAAAAATTTATCGCCATCCTCTTTGGTTTCTTTCGCGGTTTCTGTTTCTATTCGCTGATAGACACAATATTCTCAAGTGTGAATTTACCATGCAACATTTTCTGAAGCAATATTCCGATAAATACCGTTAACCTTAAAGAGATGGTCTCTAAAATATGAGAAAACTTCCAAATTCACATACATTATGTAACGTTCTATGCCGCTTTCTGTAGAGTAACTCAGCTTTTGACCCTAGCAGTTGGGTGATATGATATTCCAATTCCCTTATTCTGTGTTCAAATGGTTTGCATTTTCGAGAATGATGTTTTACCTTCTGTGCACTAAAAAGGGCGAATATTTGTAATATCAGTGTGACTAATTGGTGTTATCTCTCCGCCTCGAACGCTGTGCGAGATAAATGTAATCCTTTGTATAGAGGCAGAATATGAAAGAATTAGCGCCGTGTCAGCAAACCATGCCCAATATTCATGTCAATCCTTCCGCCCTTTTCTGTATACGTTGAACTTTGTGCTGCATTCTTGTCCTGTGATAAAATCTGATCTTTCCAAAAACGCCAACTATATGGTAATTAAGAGGTGCTTAGTCATCAATACGAGCATAAAGAACCTTTTGCGACACTGAATATCACTTAGCATTGTTACTTAAGAGCCCACTTGAAATTTCAAAGAAAGACTTTTCTATGAAGCTGCCTTAAAGAGCATGTAAATGGAATCTTTTGGTTCTATTATGTCAATCAGTTCTAAGTGAGAGTTTCCTCGAGCCTTAGCACTTCGTCGGCATGAATCTTCGCACCACATTTCTCTACATGTCAGTTTTTATTGTGGTGAGTTCGGCATATCGTTTGAGTCGCTTCCAAAACCACAAAAACGAAGGAGATCCGTGGGAAAGAGAAGAAAATCCCGACCGCGATTTTCTATACCGAAATCTCGGGTAAGACATTTTCGTCTAAACTTTTACAATGGTTTTACGTTTCAACTCTTCTTCAGTTAATCCCATAGGCATTTGTTTCTCTCCTTCAAGATTTGTCATGTTATAACTGCTTGATTCGAAAATTCAGATGACAAGTTGTTTTGTTAAATTTCGTTTGCCTTTTTTTTTTCGGCTCTCTCTTCTTATTGTCTCACGTCGTGAATAAATTAAATCAAATGTTTTTTCTTTTTGCAATTTCCTTACATGTAAATTGAGACAATCTGAAAATTTCTTCGAAAATATTTCCCCATATTTTGTAGACTTTATCAGCGTTGCTTCTTTCATAGAATTCTGCGGAAAGGTCTTTGAATCAAGACGATCGTGACGCTGCGATTTAATTTTGCCATGAATTGAGATACTCAGTAATTAGGGGTGCACAACAATTCAAAAATATTTATATTTCCAAACCGAGAGAGACTAAAGTCTATAGCGAATTTGTAAGTTGGCGAGAAGTAATCATCCACTGCGACATTTTTACAAAAATCGCGCCTCTAATGCAGGTTGAATTACAATGAGGTAATGTTACTGTACGTTTTCACACTTATATGCAAGTGGGACCAGTCCTCTTTTCTTATTTCCCTAGCCCTCAGAAAACTAGAAAGGTACTGCGTAGTATCTTCAATAGTCTACTAAAGTTTTGAATATTCTATCTGGACCGAAATAATGAGTTAAAATATATGACCTAAGATTACTCCTTTGCTTTACTTACTCGTAGGGTGTTAAATTACAATGTGCTGGAGACCCCACAAGTCACCCCTCCCCCACCACGCCCATACGTGGGACCCAAGAATGGAAAGTACAAATACAAGTACTGGAAGAAGAGGCCCAACAGACGGCGACCGCAAGAAACTTCTGAATCGGAGTCAGATGACGAAAAAGAAAGTGTCGAGACGGAGAAGAAGAGATTTTCTGATGTGATGCGACCTCCCTCCCAGAGGTGGATTCTTTATGGGAAGACCATGCTTATTTGATTGATTGACGTTTAAAAATCCTAATTATTGTTTAGCAATTCTCTCTTCTTACTGCTGTACGTTTTGTCGCGGGCTTAAGTTAAGAGAATTTGATGCGATATCACGACAAGGGTACCTCCTCTAGCTGATCATTTTCTCTTTTCTCGTCACCTACTTCTTAGTAGTTGAATCGATATTGTAAGGAAGACATGTTGTTATTGCTTAGAAGGGTCAAAACCGCTCAACGTAATTGTGAGTCGAGAAACTAGACTTGACTCACGCTGCAACAGAGCATAACCAATGATCTTAGATTCCTGGCCACTCCAACGCAGTTCACATTGCAAAGATCATCTCATCAAAATAGCTTCTTAACCCCAAAAATGTTCAGTTTCCATTTGCCTTACACCAAATTCGAATTTCTCTCCTTGTACAAATGCAAAGTTATGAGTCACTTCGTGGCGTAATGTCTGTATCGTTTGACGGACTGATCTTCGATCACTTTAAAGCTTGAATCATAGCTGTTGGCCATGGGTCCCTGTGCTGTGTTCTGCCGATTGATGTAGTACAGTGGTATACAAGTTTCCTTTAAAGCCGTTCTTAGTGATGTAACGCAACTTTCTCTCGAAGCGTGACATTTTAAAGCTGCGAAGCATAGCATTCAATAAAACCAACAACAATAACCACAAACAACTACAAAAAAAACGCAACGGTTTATCCCCGGACGTGATAGTGTAGTCTGATCGTCTAAGTGGTTGTGGTCCGAACGACCTGGATCGAAACAGATCAATTACGACAGACTTATGCTACTTGAATAAAGGGGTAGTTTCTAAAGAAACTGTGGTGCTGCGTCGGTGGGAGAGTATAGCAGGTAATTTAGTGTTAACAACTGGGTTGAAAACGTAAATTAGCCACCGTAAAAGGTAAAAAAGCTGACGTTTCGAGCGTTAGAAACAATTAGAAGCGTTAGAAATTAGAAATTGCGTTAGAAGCAATTCAATCGCTCTGACGAAGGGCTAACGCTCGAAACGTCAGCTTTTTTACCCTTTACGGTGGCTAATTTACGTTTTCAACCCAGTTGTTAACACTAAATTACCTGTTATGCTACTTGAGTCTTACAGCCAATAACATCGTAGCAAAACAAACCAATGAGTTTATACGAACCAGACTTCAACACCCACCCGGACCATCCGAGTACGCTATCACAACAATAAAAATGACAACAGCCTCGTTAAAAAAAATCTATTTCCTTTAATTATTTACAACACTCGCAAATAAAATTTAAAACTGAACCTTTCAAGGCTATATCTGCGATTGAAAGTTTTTCTCTAAAACCTTACAAACCTTTAAATGAGCACGTAACAAACCCTTTCCACGGACTGAATCAATTAAGCCGGGTTGAACAGAAGACTGAATAATCTACTGACATCAAAACTACCAAGTCACCTTGCTAAGCACTATTCCTAGACAACGTGAAGAAAATGCCTTTTGTTTGTTTGTTTTAAATACAGTAGCGGTAAGTTACTTTTTCTATATTCACCCTTAGTTTGACTTTCGTGGCAGAACCTTAAGTAAAGTCCTCCCTTGGTGTCTAACCGGCAAATCTCTTTGGGAAAGTTATTGAGAACACGTCCTATATCCAAATATATTACAAAAGACCACTTTTTGCCAATTCAGGCAGAAGGATTCAAGTGAACTTTAAAACACCAACAGCGTAGCTCCAGTTCTGCATATACATCACACACGATCCAAAATTCCTCTCTTCGCTCTGACGAATGGCTAAAGATTGAAACGTCAGCTCCAGAAACTCTTTAAGGTGGCCAATTTACATGATCAACTAAGTTGAAAAAACCAAATTATCTCCTCATACCCCCCCCCCCCACCGATAAAACGCTAATTTCTTTAGAAAGTACCCCCCCCCTTATCCATTGTAGGTTGTTTTGGTGAGTTATCGCTCAATATGTTCAAAGAGAGGGATTGGACTCCAACTAAAAGCCCCTCTCTCTTTCCTACATGATAATCCCTCACTTAGGTCCAGTCTTTCTTTTTTGTAACTCTTGTGTAAAATATAGTGCTGCTTCTTAGCTTTTTTCTTTCATTGTGGCTTTTTCTTGTTTTTCTTCTTTCCCAGAAGCTATTTTCCTCAACTCTTCTAATCTGGGTTTAACGCCGTTCAAATGATTGATGCCATCATCTATTTTGTCCTTGGTCCATTCTTTTCACCACACTATCGTCGTAGACTGGATTAAAAACTTTTGGTACCTTGGACTGCACCGATCTTAGAATCTGTAACGCTCTGGAGATACAAAATAGAAACTTAAAGCCAGTTCTAATAATATCAGTGTTAGAAGGAGTAGTGGCCCTTGGGAGGGGAGGACAAGGAGAGAGAAAAGTATCTCGCTGAAGAACAAAACATGACAAGGCTCTTTAAGGCTCGAACCCAGACCTCTCCCAAGTGTGTCCAGTACGCTGACCAGTAAGCCAATGCCTCACTGTGTCTAGCGCTAGCCAATGTAGAGACAGCCCACAGCTGATAAAAAAAAAACTTGCTAAATTAAATAATCACCCAATCAATGATAGTTTATATCAATTGAAGAAAGAAAATACCATTCTAAAGTTTAGCAGCATAAAAGGCTTCTTACTTCATTGTTCTGTTATACGCCATCTCCACTTGAAAATAACTTAGAAACTTGTTTTGTACTTCACGGTCTAGCAACCAGCTTTGCTCTCTACAAGATACGAAGATAAGATCAATGCATCAAGCATTTTGTTAGTTTGTTTCCTTGTTTGTGTGTGTTTTGTTTGTTTTCTGTTGGCTTATTTAAAAGAACAGAATAGGAAAACGAAAGCGATTGTAATCAGGGACTCAGCTGCAACGTGGCTGAGATGTTGTGAAGTGCTAAGTTGGTTTTCTGGGGTCTCAGTTTCCGGCCCTAATATCAAAATGCTCTATGAGTAACGCCGTCGAGCTGTTTTGACACCATGCTAGTACTGTAACTACTATTCTTGAGCTGTCATCTCTGTTGAGAGAGGCAAAATAATTTTCTCGCGTTTTGGCCCCATCACAGCTGAAACAATCGGGTCAATTTCAGCATCTGAGCAATTGCACACCTACCCCTCTCAAAACACAACAACAATCACCTGATAACAAGTTAGGGTTAATGTTGGGTTAAGGGAGGAACAGGTACGCAGTTGCTCAGACACTGCCAAATTATCTGAAATCCCGCTTTCAAGTTTGTATTTGATTGACATATGGCGTGTCCCACAGGAACACGGAAAGAAGCTCTTTTTTTCAGCGGAATCTACTTCTCTGCGACGAGCAAATTGTTATTATCATTATATTTTTGTGAGCCCTGAAGACCGAATGGGTACGCTCAACTCCAACTCAAGAACGCTTCCATAAAGTTTTAAACTTACATGTTCCCAACACCTCTTGTAAAGAACACTGCCTTCTCCAGGTGGGAAACAAGTGTGTATAGTTCATGACCTGGAAACGTTCCTTCCGCCGGATGAAACCTATGGACAGAACCGGAAGTTAAGGTGGTCTGCCGTATCCTCGCCCAAATTCTCTGCAAGGCACCCGTACAACGTTGACTATTTAATAAATAGGTTACATTTTGCTTTGCATCTGTTTAGTAATAGATTTAAGATAAAGTTTAAAAGTGGTAAGAACAAAAATATGGCAGTGATGTCCATACCACATTTTGACGTCATCTGTGATCTATTTCTGAGCAGACCACCGCAACATGGAATCTATTTGTTTTATATGATGAAAAAGCAAAACTCTTTTAGAGGCGAAGATGTGAAAAAACACAACACCTTTCATGACGCAGACTAACAACTATGCACATGCGATAATGAAACAAAAGAAAACAAAAACTGACTATTTAAGTGGTCTTTCTGTTTTTGTGTTTATTGTTAATAAATTAGGCCCTTTTGAGAAGCCATTTCATAAACTCAAGCTTCGTGTTTCATCAGGATTTCCAAACACTCGAAAACAATAAAAGCATTCGGCCTTCGGCCTCGTGCCTTCATCAGTTTTCTCGTGTTTGGAAACCCTGATGAAACACTCGTCCTCGTTTATGAAACATTTCATCTTACCTGTTATTAAATCTCTCCACATTGAGAGGGAATGTTTCAGGAAGCCCCAGTCTTTTTTGCTATCACTTTTCTAAGTTCCTCATCCATATAACCTGAATTGTTAAAAGACGGAGGCGATATGTTTCAGGCCTGGTTCGTTTGAAGGAAGTCAATACTTCACTAATTTATCCTCGAAACAAAATCCTGAGCAATCCTCTGAATAGAGACTTCGAGCAATCACTGAATGTTGTAAAACCGAACCCAAAGCAATCATTGAGGCCAATAAGAACACAAGAAAAATATCACAAGGAAATGAACACTCAATGTAAAAACATAGACTATCTGCGGAGGACAACGCGAGTGGCAAAATTCTTAGTGATACATGGTCAAGGGTTGTTAGAGCGTTTTTCAATTTAGCGTCATAAAACCAAAACCAATCTAATATCGACGGCAATCAGGAGAAAGAAAAATATCACAAGAGGCCGATGAGAAGACAAGGTAAAACAGCCAATGAGAACCAAAGTAAAAACAGCAAATGAGAACGCAAGGTAAAAACAGCCAATGAGAAAAAAGGTTTTAATTTTGAACCTGATTAGTTGATCAGACTCACCAGTGCTCTAAGATGTGTAAATTTAGGAAATGATTACAACATGTACCTTCACTCAATGCTCCAAGGCAAAATGCTAATGAAGGAAGAGCTGCTGGAAGAAGCTCGCATAAAGTGGCATAGTGATCATATCTACAAAAAGAGAAAAAAAAAAAAACATTATCACTTTTATAGCATACCAATCCAGCTGCTCTAGCAGCCGTTCTCAAGTGATTATGCCTCTCAAGAGTTTTTAAGACTTCAATTTAAGAAAGTTTGTAAGATATTCTTAACCAGGAATTGGTCTCTTGGCATGTAATAAGTTTTGCCATTCTCCAGGCTGGCATTTCTTAAACCTGCTGACAGGATTGTGGGCCTGTGGGCGTAACTGACTCAGAATTGCTAATTCCTTAGCAGAGGGATATAACTATGTTATTATGATGGCCCCAAAACAGGATGATTATACAGTAAGATTTAAAAATAAAATATACAAACTTGCAATAATGCAATATTGTTAACCCTTTGAGCCCTACGAGTGACAAGCATCTAATTTCTCCTATAGTATCACCCTGGAATCACAGATCAAGCTCTCATGAATAAAGGAAATGATCAACAACTAAAGAATCTCTTGATTGTTAAGCAAATTCTCCTTGTCAGCACCTTAGGAAATGTACAGAGAACAGTATGAAGAATTATCCTTCTGATATTAGATTGCCAAGGGTTAACAGAACAGAGTTGGCATTAACCACCCCTGACACACTAACCCTTTAATTCCCAGAAGTGATTAACATGTAACCTCTCCCTACAATATCCATCCATTATCCAGCAAACAGGTAGTGAGAATACTTAAACTCATCAGATACAAGTTATTACCTTGATCAAACATCAAATTCTTATAACCAATTTACAAGGAAATGTGTAGCAGCTAGAGGGGAGAATTTACAATCAGATCTTGGGAGTTAAAGGGATAAAACAATAATTGAATAATGACATTGCACAATCATACTGCATTACATACCTGCTCCAGCCAGTCAGGGCTACACCATTTACTTCTAGAGTGGATGGTAACTTGGAAATGATATCCAACCAGTATAAATTGTTTTGAACATGAAATCCAATTGGAACAAAGTTGCTCCATGGGTGAGTGGCTCCTTAAGGAAGAAAATTTTTAGCAGAAGTAACAATTAAATAACACCTACAACTCAATATCTCTTTGTTTGCTTACAGGAGGTAATATGTTTATAATAAAACACATAAGCATTGAACTCTGTAACTTAATTCGCAAGTGACTAGGTTACTGAGCTTCTTTCAACCTGGCAGGGTCTGTAGTTGCATTTTGAGCAAATCTGAAGAAAATTTTTGATGTTTTATGAACTCTTTGTAATCTACAACAGTGGAATTAAGTCACAAATTTTCATATATAATTCTAAAGACTGATATACTAATGTCTTCAAAAGAAATTGATGATTCTCCAAAATTTGTCCATTTTTATAATAAAAAGTTGTCTTCATACAGGATAAAGTTATCTGATTCAAGTTAATGCATAAGTCAAATTAATGTTACCTTTAAAGGCACTTGCAGCCCAAATCTTCTTAAAGGCTTTACCATATCTCTGCCACATATCTTAAGAATATCAAAGGCAAAGACTTAGAAAGCTCACAGTAACCGCAAAACATAATTTACATTTTACACATAGCGCACCCTCCAAACTTGATCAACATGACTCAAATAGATTTCAAATGGTTGAAAGAATGTCATGATGATGGATTGGCCAAGGAAAATTAATTTTGTGAGGTAGGCATGTTTATGCTCAGATTGTCTACAACCAAAAAATATTCTGGCCAAATTGTCTATAAGTGCAATGTTAAGGCTGGTAACTTGAATAAGCTCTTTTGATTCCACAAAACTGAGCCATTCTCAAGGGTTTGACTTGGCATTGAGGATGCACCATGGTAGCTGAGTAGAGCTTCAATAAAAGTGAACATATGACCCATCAGCTGGGACAAAACAGTTGTAACAACATGGCCTTTGAAAAGGCAGGTCTGCTCTGATTTAACAATAACAACAACAAATTCTACTTAAAGTTTTACCAGGAGGAAAATAGCCAGTGAGATCAGATCTGTAGGCCCAGACCATTGGCTCAACAAGAGGACCAAGCTCTGTCAAACAAAATGAGAAGAAAATATTAATTCAAAAGACAATAACATAAAATTATTCACCAAAGTGGAGGTAAATAACCACCACTTTCAGCAACACTGAGGTGAATAACAGTTTCAGAATATACCACACAGAACCATGTTTAGTTTACATCTATTTCTTGTTGTCAATAAACAATGGACAGAAATTTAACCCTTAATGTGCAATTTTCTCTCTTCGTCTGCTTGGAGGGGAATAGTCTTTGCAATCACCGCATGCAGAGAGCACTATTCACCACTGTGGCAAATAAAAAGTCATCATTTATCACAGTCAAAACAAAAAGGACAACTGAAAAGTTGGGCAGTAAGGTTTATTCCAAACCTCCCATTAGTGTAAATCCATCCAATAGTTCTTTACCTTTCAAGTATTCCAAAGGCCAGTACCTCATCATGTCATCCCACATGATTGGTGTTACCTTCTTGCCTTGCAAGTGTTTGAGAATGGGTTTCATGTGATGCACAAACAATTCAGATTTATTCCGTGCATCTTTAAGACAGACAGGGCATGTCTTGAGATTCCACACCTGATTGAAAAAAAAAAAAAGAAGACCAATATGAAAATGCAGCAGTTTTAATTCTTGTTATGAAAAGTTTCCTGTGCTAAGTTTTCAAATTAGGTTGGTGACTACTATCAAATGCCCTCAACTTGCTACATGTAATTTGCCTGTCTCCATGCAGAGCCCTCGGAACTGAGTACATTCAAAGTCGTTTGTGACACTGCATGCCATTTCCAGAGCCAAATAGCCTGGCATTAAAATTTCAGTCTGCTATTTTGCCCTGCTCTGGCACTCTTTGTGAATAATGGAAGTTCTTATTGTTCTGTATTTGGATTTGATTTAAGGGAAGTTGTAACATTGCGTCAAGCAGAAAGTCGACTTTAAATATAAAAATTTTAACAGTACAGCCATGTGTAATGACCTTCTGTGCCCTGAAAAGTTACTCAATATATAGCAACAGTAGATATCAAATCACCTCATCTCCTCCAATATGAAACCACTGCAAACCAGGATGGAGAGCTAGAACTTGATCAATGAGTTCTATAACCATTGGAACAGAGTCTAGAACAGATGTTATACAAAATTAACCAATATTATGTACTTATTTGTTAATTCTTCAAGTTGGTGGCAATTCACACGAACATACCATTTGGTTTTATTTTTCCAATTTGTATCACTAACCTTTGTTATTTGGGCATAATGAATTAGTGTAGTGTTCTGTTTCACGAAGATAGGCAAACTCCTTGTGCTTCAAGACAAACTGAATGGAAAGGAAGGTAAATTTTACAACAGATTATGTACATATAAATTACACATGCATGGTTTACTTTAAAAAAAAAGCAAGAATAAAAATAGTTAATTTTTTTTATTAAAATGAAAAAATTAACTATTGAAAAAAAGTAACTACTGCATGATGTACAAGTGCGTAGATTAAATTTAAAAAGATTGAGAAAATTGGTCCTGGTTTTTTTGCTTTTAAAAAATTGTTTGCTTCCTGGAACAGATAATGTCTGCACACAAATATCAAAACAAACTTTTAAACCAAGTAGAGGCTATAATGCATATATATTAAAATTATCATAATTGTAAACTTAAAATTACCAAGTTGCTGGGGGCTACTCATCCACCCTAAAGTATTGAGATACTTATTGCAATCATCAGAGCTTCACTGGCTGCTAAAAGAATTAACTGAAATTGCTAGGAAAAAGTATTTATCTGAATATTTATATTGACTTTACCTCCAGATGACCAAATGTCTGTACCAGTGGAATTACAATAAGATCATTTGCTGCTGCTGTCTCCAGCAACTGTTTTATTTCAGCTTCACTGCAAATACAAAATCAAATTATAATTTCTTTTAATCCTTTAACTCCCAGAGGTGATTAACATGCAAATTCTCACTATAACATCCATACAATATCCAGCAAACAGGTTGTGAGAACACTTGAGCATATCAGGAAGAAGTTGATATGAAAATGAGTAAGCAGCTAGAGGAGAGAACTGCTGATTAATCACAATGTGCAAAACCATAGTACCCATAAACTTTCTTCAGGTTTGATATCAACAGCAAGGAATCTTCAAATGCACATGTCTAAATGATAAGGTATTCTAAATAGGAATTTACGACACATCTTTTTCTTACAGTTATAAACAGCATTAACCTGTATGAGTTTTTAGCCTGTAAGACTTCATATTTTGCCTTGTAGGGAAACATATCTTCATACTCAACCAGCAAACCAGTTGCTCCCCACTTCTTAAAATATGGCAGCACCTACACAGGTTTACAAATTGATAATATTCAATTTATAATTATCAAAATTAATGACAGATATCACATTTTATGATATATTGTTACTGGCAAGTAATTATCAAATCTTGTAAAAAAATATCAGTTATTTTATAATTAGAATTAACTAATTAATTTTGTAGGTATAATTCAGCAGTGTTGATTTAACCGTTGTAAAACATTTTTTGTGAACCTGATAATGTGGTCATGTAAATTTACATTCTGCAAGTATAGTACCCTGATTCCATACAGGGAGAGGGGCAGGTACCAAATGGATAAAACTGAATAGGCCATAATTGGCAAACCTGTTTCCAAACATGTTTTCAAGCATATTACTGGATAATAACACATAAATTTCTCATCTGTAATTATTACATATAGAGTTCTCTTTTTATATGTAAGGTGCATGAAGTTGCTCCAATCAGTATAATATACCTGTGTCAGAAAAAGTCATTTTTGTTGGTGCTCCTTTCAAATCCAAATGAACAAGTTTGTGACCACTAAATCTGAAGATTCAAAATTGACAACAAATATCACTTTTATGGTCATCAAACTGCATAATTGATAATTGACCCTTTAATTGTCATGAGTGAACTAGACATAACTTCTTCTTACAATATCAACACAATATCATGCAAATAAGTACTAAGAATATAAAAATATATATCAATTAGAGGATTAGGGGATTATTAATTGACCCAATACCAAATTCTCCATTACAGTAATTTAATAAGTAAACATAACAATTGTATAGCAGACAGTAGGGAGAATTGCTAATGATATCATGGAAGTGAAAGAGGTTCAGCAATGCACTTAAACAATGAAGGTCAAAATTTAGTCAAGAGAACTTATTAAATAACAAAAATTTCCTGCCAATAACAAACAACTAGTCTAAATTCAATGCATGAGCAAATATGCCACTGGAAATACTGTTTTCACAGGCTGCCTATATTTATATCATAATTTGCAAAAAGAACTCAGTTTAAATTTCTCTCACTGAACATATTTGATACAGTCTGAAGAAAGGGATGAGAACTAACTTTCTTTTGACAGGTTCCATGTCTTTTTTCTGGACTGTGTCTCTTGATACTTCTGCTTCTGCAAGCTGCTTTTTAAGAGCCTCTATAGTTTCTTGAGCTTGCCTCAGACTGACATCAAACAACCCAGCTTTTGCAACACTGGCTAGTGATTTTAAATCTATTGAAGATTCTAAGGAGAAATTGAAAATGCAGTCTGATAGAACATCTACCATAATAATTGTATAATAATGCCTTTCATATGCTAGAACCATTGCGCTTCAAACTAAAATAATAATTAAATAAAAAACAAATCAAAATGTTCAAATATGATTCGTTTTAATATTATTTTACTTCCACTGATGTACTGGAAAGTAAAGCTAGATTCTTACTGGAATTGCAATCCTTAAGCTTTTTGGGAACCTGTGCATGTAGCAATGTTCTGTTCACCGCTGGGTGGGGCACTTATGGCTGTGAAACTCCTGGGTGTGGAAGTGCTTCTGATGCAAATTTGCACAGCATTAATCACAAGTGAACATAATAACTTACATTGGGTGAAGGTTTGGTGTCTAAAAAAATTAATTTTCTTAAAGAACCGAAAAGTTTTCTTCGATTCTGCAACGCACTTCAGTGAAGTTGACGACGGAACAGCGCCATTTACAACTGAGCTTCAATTATGGTGAGAAAAATGTTAATGTAACCACTTTCGGGAAACGAAAGAAATTTTTGGCCCGTGCAATATACCTCAGTGGAAGTAACAAATATTATCATGAACTGTTCATATTAAGCTGAGAACTTAGCCCACCTGTAGGAAGCTTGTTGCTGGTCCGTGGGGTGACACTTGCAGGCAGGTTTCTTTCTGAAGAGTAGTGCGATAGTTTGTAAAAGATATAAAGCACAACCACGAGCGAAAAAATTATTCCAACGCTAGTGTAGTTGATTCGCATTATATTCATGAAAGCCAGCTGTTAAAATGAACGATCGAACTTTTAGGGTATGGATGATTTCATTCCGAACTGTCTCCCGATCTGGGACCAATCTTACCCAGAGCCCGCCGTTTTTTACAATCAGCAGTAAAATGAAACAAAGTTAGTCCTATCATGTATGGATCATATAAACTGATCATGTTAGCGGTTGAAGCTATGGACGCGCGAGGGCATGGGACAAAGTTAAGCAAAGGGTGGAGCGTTAGTTTATATCGCTTGATTATTTTTTCGGTAAAATTTCCGCACTAGCACATCCTATTGTAGAACAAATCTGTTTTTCCAATGGAAATGTGTTGTTTTTGTTCATTGTTTTCTCTATCCAAGAACTGAATGTATAATGAAGTATGGGGCTGTTCGGAAATTTTACCATTTTTTCTGTAACGTAAATTCAATATAAATTCAGAGATTAATTCAGGAAATGTAAAAACTAAAACAATTGAAAGGTAAAAAAACTGAGCAATTGAAAAATAAAAACTAAAACAATTCAAAGGTTAACTAATGCGAAAAACGCGTCATTTTGTTCCATTTGAACAAACAAAAACAATGACGGTGCTTCTAATAGTTCTTTGTGAATCAATAGCTAATTAATTTCGAGGTCAGTTTTAACAACAGCAACTTTGTGTAGTGAAACAAACACTGCAGCGCAGTAGTGCGATAGCTGAGTTTCGATCTACGAAAATTTTATCTTTGAGCTGATGTACATCCATGAAAACTCAGCGTATAATCGCACTTCATTTGGCCCAGGCAGTGTATGTTTACTCAACTCAGTTTTTTTAAAACACCTGGGCTATTACACTATTTATTCACATGGATCTATTGGACTCACAATTCAGTGCCATTTATTTTGCAGTGGAACTGTTTGAAACTTTTTTGGTCCCCAAAGGTAACGGCTTTTATTCTCTCACTTTGAATTTATGGCAAAGTTGTATCAAAACGTTGCTTATATCTTTTCATGAATACGCTTTCTATCAGTTGAAATATTTGCGTAATTAATTTCATTTATTGATAGACTGAAAAAAATCGTCGTTCAGTGTATGACTTCTTTGTGCTAAGCCCGTCGATGAAACTTAATATGATCTGTTTCGTTAAAAAATATTTAAGGGTCAGGAAACGCACGTTTTGTTACACCGAGATGGAGAGCGGGAAGGAGGGATTATCCATAATTCCCAAGTGGCTGAAGACTCGGAATGACCCTGTAAAACATCTGAGTATACAATAAACTTCAAGATTGAGAAATTATATTTTAAAATAAATTATATCTTCCCGAGACGAGAAATTCATTTTCTTCCATAATTTTATCGTGTAACCATGTAGCTGAACGAAGTCAACCGATATGACACCTCTTCAGTTGGAATCCACCTTAGAATGCATGAATGGAAATCTGCCGTCGTGGATCCAGCCAACAAACGGAATGAGAGAGAAAGAGAGGAAATAATCAAAATACTATCACAGGAAAATCATTAAATTGCTAGCGTTGTGAGGAGTAGCAGCCATTTAATACGCGAAGGTCTATAAACTGAAGCTTTTGTTGCAACAAAGGGAATAACTTCACCGTGCTTCAGTTACGAAGATTTTGTTTTATTTTCCACAGTGCAAGCCTCCCTCTGTCTTGAGTGAACCCAAAGCTTACAAGCTCACTTCAGATAACGAAGTGAATCGTTTTCATCGTTTTGTTCAAAGTCAGCAAGAAATTACATATCGGCAAATAACATCAAGAAGTGTGGGTCATCGATGGCTTTTCCCTCTGAGGCTGAAGGCATCGTTTGGTGCAGTATTTTTACATTTGCATCCGCCTTGATTGTCATTGGAAATCTATTGACTATTATCCTCTTTGCAGTAAACAAAAGACTTCGTAAGAAAAGTTTGGTTCTTGTCATCAACATGGCGGTTGCTGATCTGATGTTGGGAGCTGTATCTCTACCTCTTTACATTTACTTGGTTGGTATATCCGATTATCAGCTTTGGACTGAAACTCTGGACCTGAATGTTCCCTTTTTAATCGCTGATATCCTTGCAACGAAAGCGTCATTAATATCTGCAACCTTCATTTCTTGTGAGAGGTTTTACGCTATATATTGGCCGTTTAAACACCGAACATTAACGACTCGAACATACTATATTGTAATTTTCATAGTCTGGACTTTAGCTCTCCTTAATACTTGCATATTTCAAATGTCCAGCCTGCGAAAACTTTTTCCCTATATTTTGTTGTCACTCGGTTCGACCTCAGCGATTATCATATGCGGTTGTAACATCGCTATCTGGAGAAAGTTTCAACTTCAAGGAATTGTCGCAGGCTCGCAACATCAAAACAGGGACTTACAAAATGAACGCCTGACAAAGATTCTATTGTTTGTTTCTGTCCTTGCATTGCTATGTTGGCTTCCTTATATTATTGTTACCAGTTTAATTTTACTATTAGATTTCAACTTTATGATATCGTGGAGATGTCTTGTTATAATCGACTTTGTTAATTATGCCAACGCATTTGTAAATCCAGCTGTGTATACACTGAGAATACCACAGTTTCGACAAGCTTTATCTCGGTGCTGTTTGGTCAAGCGAGTTGTGGTGAACAGCGAAAATTCTGCAACTGGCCAGGGGGATGAAGCGTCCTCAAGGGCGCCGATATCACTTATAACATTACAAACTGAGTCTGGACGTGACCTGCAACCACTGAAGAATGAGGAAATTATGGAAACCAAAGTGTGATCAACCAAAAATTAAAAACAGAGTTAAAATGTGCAAGAGAATATAAGCTATATATTCTCTTTAAATAAGTCATTTTAAAATTGCCTCAGTGCTTTGTAATCTAACCGTGTGCATGAGTTCTTAAGAGATCAGAGAAAGGCTTATCTAGAGAATCTGACCATTATTAACAAACCTCATTTTATTTTGTGCCTTTTTTTTTCGTAAGGTGAATTTAATTCACGGAAAAAATAGCGGAGTAGCATACTCATTTTAAAGAGCCAGCTTTTTCGATTGCTGATCGAGCTCGTTGGTATACTGGCGCTTCTAAGAACTTTGGCTACTAGCAGCTGCCTATGCTGACTAAGGCCCGCAGTTATTTCGGGTCAGCGTCAACTCTTACAGAGATTATCATCTCTTATCATGTGAATCATAAAGATTCGCGAATGGAGAAGGAATCAAAACTTAACTATAGCACGCTCCTATGACTTATAAAATATAAATCTCACATGGCTTTTTCAATCCTTGTTATGTTTCTTGATTAGGCTTTCATACTTCGTAGTGAAAATCAGTGAGATATTTTTAATTGCCTAAGTAATCAACGAACACATCGGTTGACAACGTCTGTAAGACATGTCTGAATAATAAATAGCCAAAATACAACATGAGAATCAACGTATACCGTAAGTCATCAACCTTGGATGGCGCTTTTCTCTGCGACCTGAGCCAAAAGCCCGAATTATGAAACGCATACAAGGCAATGAATTAGAAAAATAATTAACAAATGAAGTGAAATTTACCAAATAAGTGCAAAATATATGTGAAATATGCTAAGGATATCGATATATAGTGAAAGATGAACTATCCCCTTAACCCACTGAAGTAAACAAACTAAAATTCAAGTTCAGAATCCTATTTAAAATTTCGGCCGAAAAGAGGGGTGCCTATTGGAAGGAGAACGTCTAATCCAGGGGGGTATTGGTTCCGCTAAAGTTGAAGCTTAAAAAGTTATAAACTGGAGATAATCTACTGGAGTCTCCTTCCCTGTGTTGAATTGTTACTGTGCTTCATGTAACCGAGAACGTGAAACAGTTTGAACATAAATTTTTGGTACATCTGCTATATCTATATTTTATACTTTTAGCTCTGATCTTTTTCCTGGCTGTGAAAATTGTTTTTTCAGCTCATAACGAACACGGAAGTTGTAGACTCACCAGAATTCACAAAATTATTTGACCGAGGAAGTGTAAGAATATTAATGCGGCAGAAAGCAAACAACTTAGGTCATCCAACAATCTTCACGTATGAAAACTTGTCATCAAAATTTGTTTAGCCTAATAATTCTTTCTAAAATTCAAAGTTAATGATTTTAACTAGTCTTTCAGGCATGTGCTAGCTAAAACAAATCATCAGAGGAAGACTTTTCTGACACCTTAAAGTCTACGCAGATAAATTTCTGAAGTCCTTCGGGCACGTAGCAATAAACAATGTTTAATTGACATATTTGACATCCGTTCTAAACTTTCAGAACAATCCAAGGGAGTACTGGTTCCGCTGAAGCTGAAGCTCAAAAATTTATGAAAAACAGTTGCAATTGACATGTTTAACATCCGTTCAAGAATTTCAGAACAATCCAGGGGAATATCGATTCCGCTAAAGCTGAAGCTTAAATGCTTTTTAAGGAAATAAGAGGCTTACCGAAATATCCGCAGTTTGACTTCGACCGCGACCCATCCTTATCAACGCAGAGCTATCCTCTACCTCTCTTTAAAACTAAAACGGTTACATACATTCTGACAAAAGTCAGCGATGAATGAAACAAAAGCAGTAAACTTCAGCGGAGACAACAGATCTGGGTTATCAGATGAAATTCCTTCCAAAGCTGAAAGCATCGTTCGGTGCGGTGTTCTTGTATTGGCATCTGCCTTGATTGTCATTGGAAACATACCCACTATCGTTCTCTTTGTTGGTAACAAGAGACTTCGCAAGAAAAGTCTGTTTCTCGTCATCAATATGGCGGTTGCAGATCTGATGTTGGGGGCTGTATCTCTTCCTTTCTATATTTACCGAATTGGCGAGGTCGGTTACCACCTATGGACAGCATCAATGGACATTTATCTCGGATCTTTCAGTGTTATTGCTGATAACGTTCCTACAGTAGCTTCACTAGTATCTGCGACCTCCATATCCTGTGAAAGGTTTTACGCCTTATATCGGCCGTTTAAACACCGATCCCTCACGAAGCGAACATACCTCATTATAATTCTAATGCTGTGGACAATTTCCGCCCTTGATACCGCCCTCTATTTTCTTTCATTCCACCTTCGTTTTCGTGAACATTATAATTATTATTGGTTGACTTTGGGTTCGATATCAATTGCTATCATGTGTGGTTGTAACATCGCCATATGGAGAAAATTTCGACGCAGAACTGTCCCTGGAACACAACATCAAAATAGGGACTTACAAAATAAGCGTCTGACGACGACTTTGCTGTTTGTTTCTATTCTTGCCTTGCTTTCTTGGCTTCCATATATTATTTCAAACACCTTAGTAATTCTAACTGATCTCAACATACCTCAGAGATATTTGGTGGCTATTAATTTTGTCAACTATTCGAGCGCATTTATAAATCCAATTATATACGCATTTAGAATACCAGAGTTTCGCCAGGCGTTGGCTCGATCATTTGTAAGGCGGCGAGCTACTGCGAAAGTTGAAAACATTGAAATAGGGGTTGATAAAAGAGCTGCTTCGACGAAAGTGACACCGCTTAGAATATTAGAAGGTGATGTTAGGTTCGATGTGGAAGTTGTGGATACGAGCCTTTAAGAAACCAAGAATAAGAAATATAAAGGCCACATCAAAGTGCCTTTTTTAAAACAAGTTTGGTCATTTCGGCGATGTAACATTACCTGTTGTTAATTAAGAGAGAGACTTTTGTGAAAAGCCCTACAATCACCTTTCATATTCCGTTATTTTTTAATTAATAAACGACAATAATTTTCTCTTTGTTTGTAGGGCGTATTGCATATGCCAAAAAATAGACATTTTAAATGAAAAAATAAATGATTATCATAAGGTACTTTGCAATAATTATCAGGAGTAAAAGTGGACCGGGGGAGTTGAAAAAAATTAGACGGGTGGGGGGGGTGACTGACCCTAAGCCATCTCTGTGATGAGAAAAAAAAATCAAGACAACCTGAGGCAGACTCAGCCATGTATAGCTTAGTGGATAGGAAAGAAAAATTAGTAAGCCAAGTTCTGGCTTGCATTCAAGCTGTTTAAAATATCATGGAAACCGAAGGTAATGACAAATATAGTGCCGGACTTGCAGCCGCAATCCAGCGATTCAGACTCAGACGGATCGGATGTGGGGCGGCCTTGTTAAACATAATTATGAACTACGTAGAGAGGGGTGGGGTGGAATAACTTTTGGGGGGGCGTCCGATTGAGGTAAGAGTTCAACTTACCTTTGTTAATGGAGGTGAGGGGGAAGGGGGGGGGGCACCTACTAATTCTTTGTGTCTTTCCTATTTTTTTGGGTGCCTCTCTTCTGATAAATATTTCCCAGTTCGTAATCAGGACTTGCCTTTTTAATAAATGTTTTCAACCATACGTTTCGAAGTCCTCTTTGGGAAAAAAAAGCTCTTTAGAGGTAGTGAATGAATTATTTGTTTGAAGATATTACGCTGATGAGGTCTAATTGAGGTCTAATGAGACCGAAACAGCTGTTCATGGTTTACTTCAGTTCTTAATCTCCCTAAGAAAAAAGAAACAATGATTCAGTGTCTCAAAATTATCGCTTTAAGGCGCATTCTGTGGCCGCAACATATAATTTTGAAACATTAACGTAGCTCTGATAGTATTTTTCACAGGAACCAAGTTTTAATGTCAGGTTTTTATGCAAGTATACAGGTTTATGTCACCCGTCACTACCAGTCACTATCAGACATATGCCAAATTCGGCGACACACCGTTGTATAGATTGGAAAAAGTTTTTACTCTTCTTGACATTTTTACTGACCATTTGGGTCGAACTTAACTTTGTCTATACCATGTTCAGTTTCTAAGTAGGCGTAACTATTCCTTGAAGCTTGCAGATAGGAAAATTTATGTCGAAGTGATCAAAAATCAATTAGCATATTATGACCTTTATTAATTATTCACAAGCGCCAAACAGTCAAATTGGTGATATGCACTCCGTCTCGCAAAGAATTGCGTCGTCGCAAGTATGATTTAATGATCTAACAATTTTAGTCGCAGCTAGCTTACGGGCAGGCGAGAAGTCTGCAAGGGGTTTAACACAGGTAATATTGAGGTATCAGACTCCCGGTAACTACTTCCTGGCTCTTCTAAGATCTCTCCGCGGGAGGAGAAAGGCGCGTCCTGCAGCGATAATAATCATGTAATAATAGGGACCTGCTTGCCTACTAAGACGCAGCTGACATTCGTCTTTTCCTCTATGGACTGACGCTCTCCTCTTGGGGAATCAACCACAGCAAACATATCACAGAAAAATTCGTGAAGACATCCGCAGCTTTCTATTTGCGATCTCAGACCGTCTGAAAGTTTTCAGCGCGTGAAGCGACCTAACCTACCAGTCGGCGACAAGTAGTTTTGTAAATGAATAAAGGAGTAAGTTTCCAAATAAACTGTGCTGCCTCAGTGGAGGGTATTACCAGAGAATTTTGTTTTATCCTAGTTGCTAATGTAAATTTGCCACCATAAAAGTTTCAAGAGCCGGCGTTTCGATCATTGGCCCTTCATCAGAGCGAATGAAAATGGTCTTCCCTGTCATTTGTCGTTTGTTTGAGGCGAGTCCTTGGGAGGCGACCTTAAATTTCATGTCTGAACCAAGGCTCATGGGAGTATTGGGTTAGCAAACGGTTCCGATTGTTTAATTACACCCGCAGACTGTATCAGAATATTTCACTTCAATTCATTTTTCTCAGTATAGGAGGAGGGAACCACAGGCGACAATTTCTTATCGAAGAACAAAAGTCTTCGACGTTTTCCTGGAAGTGAATAATTTATTGCCGACAAACAGCGACAAAGAAAACATCACAACATGTTAAAAGATACTTATTTTAGCGAACGCTTAACGAAGACAACTTATTGAATTTTTCTATCGATCCTTTCTCTACTACACATTGTATTCCTTTACCAAGCTTAATTTTTCTTTATTGACACAAGGTTCGTGACTACTAAAAAGACGCTATACCAGAGGAGATCTAAGCATGATTAAAATTGATGCAAACGTTTTTAAAAAACTGCTTTTGGATAATGAGTTGTCATAAAAATGTGGCGATAATGTTTAATATATTTTTTCTCTTCGTTTCCTTTCAGCTCACTGAGATTTAAGCTACTACGTCGTACTGACAGTCAGTACTTCTATTATTGCCTAAAACTGAGGAAACTATCCCCTTAAACTTCAGAAACGACAAAATTGTCTGATCATGTCCTTCACTCCAGCTCTCACCCTCTAATCTTCCAGCAGTAAAGTATCGGGTTTATTGATGAGTTCGACAAAAACAGAACTCCTGTGATGTACCATGCCAGATCAATTGCCGACGCATGAGGGCTATTACTAACATCAATGACTGCACGTAATGCTATGACTGTAGAAAATGGAAAATAGCAAAAAAGTAATGTGAACTGTATCCATAACGCGCTAGTCACTGTTCTACTGTACCAAGCCATATTCATTTGAATTTTTGTTCTCGTGGCTGGAAGACACGCTTTTGAACTTGAATTTGGTGGTTGCGTAAGGTTAGATAAATTCTCAAGTAACAGAGACTTGCTGTCAAAAGGCACAACAATAATGTTACAGCAGTCAAGGCTGCAGCAATGCGAAATTTGTACAGCCACAACATTGAACCGATAACGGTGTAAAGGGTAAAAACAGCCAGAAGAGTCCGTATTCTTGTAAGTGTGACCATGGTTCTGTATCTCATTCTTAGTACCAAAGCCAAATATCTGTCCACACTGATCGCAGTCACTGTTAGCACCGAGACTCCTCGTAAAATTGTGCTCGTGAGGACATACGGGATTTGTAGATAGAGACAACCTTTGGAGTGTTTTGGGGAGAATATGAAGGCGACTAACAGAGGCTGTGTAATAAGACCCGAGCACAGATCAGTGAACACAAGGCAACTGTACAGAAGCTTTGAGGAAGGATGAAGGCACATGGAGCTGCGGACCTTCCAAAGTACAGTAATAACCAGAAGATTGCCCAAAAACGCCGTGATGGAGAGAGGAATATTCAGTGCTATAAAAAAAATCTTCAGGTTTTGCCACTTTGGACTTAGCATGCAAAATGGAGACTCTGAAATTGTCGCTGGGCTCCCTAAATCTTCTGTTGTGTTGTTTAAGGTCGTCATATTTCAAAGATGTCTATTAAGGCTGAAGAAAGTTATGGCGAGAGTTGATATTCTGTTAACGAAAGTCAGTATTTATCTTCAGGCCTCCCCAACAATCGAATCGGCAATCAATACTTCTACAGGAGGATATCATATAACACTTTTCCAAAGCGTTGTCCTAACGATGAAAAAAAAAAGACACAGCAAAACTTATTTCAAATGAGAAAAAAATTTGTTTTTATGAAAGATTCACGAAGGTGACTGAACACAAACAACCTTTCACGAGTGAAAATCAAGCTTGTTATCTCTACGAGACTGCAACATGAATTAAATATACCAGCTTATTCTAGTGTTATAACAATTATCCTCTTTTAAGCTTCAGTTTACGTCGCTACAGGGGATGGGTAGATTGAATTTTCACAAAATTTTCAGTTCCCCTTCGATGAGAGCGAAACTGGAGATGACCTACTGGACCGTGTCCTTCCCTATGTTTAACTGTTACGGCGCTTTATGTTGCAGAGAATGCTCAAACAGTTTAAACATAATTTTTGATTCGTCTGTTATATCTATATTTTTTAGTTTTAACTCTGACCTTTTTCTTGGCTGTGAAGGTTATTTTATAACGAAGGAGAAAGTTGTAGACACACCAGAATTCACAAAATTATTTGACAAGGGGAAGTGTAAGAGTATTAAAGCAGGAGAAAACAAAAAACTTGGAACTCATCCAATAACCTACAGATGAAAACCTGTCATTAAAATTTGTTTAGCTTAGTAATTAATTATTTCTAAGATTCAAAGTTGATGATTTCTAGTGGTTCTTTCAGACATGTACCGGTGAAGAAAAATCCTCAGTGGAGGATTCTGGTACCTTAAAGGCTGCACAGATAATTCGTGAAGTCCTTCAGGCGCTGAACAATAAACGATGTTTAATTGACATGTTTAACATTTGTTCTAGAATTTCAGAATAATCCATTATCGTTAAAACCTTAGAAGGCACCGATGCGACACTTCTTAAAAGTGCTTAGTTCAGTTTGATGTCTGAATATTTGAATTAAGTTTAACCGTTGTTTAACAAAACCGCGTCCCAAACAATCCTCAATTTGGCTGAACCTTTTACCTAAACATTTATTTTTGTGAACAGCGTCAAGAGGGCCGAAAGCAAACAGTAGAAGGACATTTATTTAATTAAATCAACCCTCCTATAGAAGACGCCTGAGGCCCCCTGATTGCGTAAAACCGTGCTTTAAATTAAACATCGAGTAAATAACCGGCCCTAATATTTTATTCCGCCATTATTATAAAATAAAATTAAGTTAGACTTTTCCATACATTTGACGGTCACAATTGGATTGCAGAACCCAGTCAATT